TTTATAAAAATCGAATGATAGTTCTTTTAAAAGAACATCTCGACGGGCACTTACAAGCCTAACACGATAGGTCCTTAGAATTTTGAGGATTTGATGTGGGTCCAACGCCCGCATTAATTTAAGAGACACCGTTAGAGTTTAAATTTCAACGGTCTAAGAGCTAGAATGCCGTAAATAAGTTTTTAGGCCGAATTGGGCCTTAATATTATAATGAGTCTAATGAGGAAAAATTATGGAGAATAAGTTACTAGATTGGGTAAATGATTTTCAACCTAGACATAAGTATGCTAAGGGCAATTAAGGAAAATAAGATTTTGAGGATTTAATAAATTGATCCTTATAGTAAATTATCCTTCAGTAAAGGAAAGGAATACATGCCTTAAATAAAGGGCTGGATTTCCTTCATAGGCTACTAAAATAAAATAGCAAATGACAGATAATCTCACACTCTCAATGGGTGTTCATTTTCAGAAGTAAGCAAGTAAGAGAATAGGCTATTTGGCGAAAAATGGATTCCAGCTCTGTAAATCAGGTAAGTAGGAATCTCGCCTACAGTATGAATAGATTTTAAAGAAAAAGTTACACATGTTATATATGCATGTTTATGCTTTAAGTATTGTATGCGATGCTATGTCATGCTGCATACACATAAGCAGCGCACATGAATTATATGTGTTCGAGTTAATTTAATGTTATGTATACTATGCTAGATCATACTGCATACACTTAAGCAGTGCACATGAAGTATATGTGTTTGAGTACATTCCATGTTATAGTATGCTATGCTTTTTCATATTGCATACACCTTAATAAGTCAAGAGGAACTTATAAGAATAATATCAGTTGAGTACCGTACCAGCCTCCACAAGGGAGGTAACTCAAGCTCCACAAGGGAGAAAAAGAAAATAACAATAATGTTCTCCGACTCAAGGGAGGCATTCAAGTTATAATCATAGTGTCGTGGGGGACCTTGCAAACCTCACGTTCTGATGATTACGCGCAAGTGGTACGCGAGCACTCGGGCCCATCAGTAAGAAAGATAAGATAAGATAATAAGACTATGATAAGATATCATAATTAAGCATAATCAGCTCATGCATATTTATACATGTGAACTTACAGTTATTTTGCGAGAGATAGTTCCTACTTGCTGAGCGAAAGCTCAATCAGATATGTTCATGCTGTAGGTAAGAAACCTATCAGCAATTCTTGAAGGGCAGTGGCGAGCGGCGGGTGAATGGTGGAGATGAGAATGGATACCGCTCACAGTTAAATCTTCCACAGTAAGTTAAAGTAAAATCATGTATATGTATATATGATTCAAAGGTTTCAAGCACGTATGTTTAAAAAGTATATGTACATATGTATGTTAAGAGAACCGAGGTTGTAGCTAACAACCCTAGTCTTGAGTTTTCAAGTTTTAGAACGTTGCAACAGTGCATGCAACAAATAAACGAACTTTAAATATGACGATTTAAATGATTGATTTTGAAAGGACTTTAAGAAGTACTTGAATTTAAGATTTCTCACGAAATTCATTTTAAGGTCAAAATTAGATGGCCCGAATGTATTGGCTAGTTTTAGAAAGGCTTTTAAAGAGTATGTGAAACAAGAGTTCAAATGTCACTCAGTTCGAATGATATTTTTAGAAGGTTTTATCTTAGTTGAAATTAAGAAAAGCTTTAAGAAATTTAGTGAGTCATTCTTTTGAAATTATCGTTACGAATTATGAAATTATTCCTTCTTATATTTAAAAAAAATGTTCTGCAAATTTTAAGAAATCCTAGTAAGTACAAGTTAAAAAGTAAGCTACGGTGGCGGCCTCATAGGAGGGTCGTCACATATGTAAGGTGGACAGAAAACAAAAACCAATTAAAAGATATAAGTTGAAGAAAAACAAAAAAAGGGAAAAACATAAGAAAAATGAAAGGACGGAAAAAAGGGAAACAGAAAAAAGAAAAAAGAAAAAGAAGAGAAAAAGAAATGGAAAAGGAAGAAGAAACAAATTAACAGCCAAAGATTCTGAATAAAAAAGAAGAATAAAAACAAGATAGAATGAAAAAATATATATTCACGGTAATTTTTGGATAAATCATATCAAACTCAATGTATTAAAGTTATTCCTGCTCATCATCGCCATAAGGGGAAAAGATAAAAAAAAGGGAAGTAGAAAAAGGAAAAGAGGACGGAGAAAAAAGGGAAGAAAAAAAAGAGAGACTAAAGATAAAATATTTGAAATAAAGACATATCTATGTATGTTATTAAGAAGCAAGTAAAGTGCAAGAGAACATCTGAACGTCATTAAATAATAACAAAATAATAAAACCATCGATCAAGAGAAGTAATAAAGCAAAGAAAGAATAAATGTTAATAACATTAGAGAAAAGCAAGCATAAGCTATTAATAGTACTTGGAGAGCTGTGAACACTATTCTAACTGTGAGATATTAACCAACCAGAAATGGAGACAGACAGTTAAAGATAATAGGATAGGAAAACAGAGGAGTAAATGATAGAAGGTGAAATGAAAGAGTAAGGACCCGTTTACTTCGTTGATTTAAATTTATAATTTGAGTTGAGATATGATTTTGTGTGAGAGTTTTTTACTGTAGCAAAAAAGTTAAATGTGACTGTTTCTGAGAACTTTTTACTGTAGTAAAACCCGAATTCTAAACTCGAATCAGCGAAATGAACGGGACTTAAATGATCATAGGTAAAGCAACAACAAATAGAAGCGGTTAAATGGGATAGAGCTAAAGGAGTAGAGCAGTAAATGGAGAACAATGAAGTAAAACAATAGTAGATAATGAAAGATAAAACAGAACGGGAGAAATAGCAGGTATAGGAGAAGGAAACAGAAACACGTATTACAACTTGTCTGCAACATTCATAAATAATGCGTGAAAAAGTTATCATGAACAGTAGATGGCCTCTAGTAATGTAACACGTAGTAATACATACTCAACTTACAAGAATTGGAGGATTAAAATTTCCTAATTAAGCAACAAAACCAATACAGGCCTAGGAGCAATTTAAAAAATAATTGCCTCATATATAGGAAAAGGCAGAGGCAAGAAAAAGGGGGAAGAAAAAAAAAAGGGGAAATTTTTTTTCCCCTAAAATCACCGGGATTCTAGATAATAGATGCTAAAATTGGTGCAGATTCTAGAAAATGCACAAGAAAAAAAACAACAATTCATTTAATATGTATATACCAAAATCACCACAAATCATCAACCCAACAAAGCAAATTAATGATGACTATAAACAGCCCAAATCATCAAAGCAATAAATGAAAGGAAAAAAATTGAAAGTTACCCATACGCGGCATAAGATCAACCAAGAGAAAGTCAACCGATACAAATAAAGCGTGTGCACAGATAAATCCATCAAAGAAAAAGATAAAGAACTGATGAGTGCGTAATTTATGCACTCATTCGTTACTCCTTTAGTTAGTTTCGGTGTGTTTTTCCTCAAGTTTTTATGTGAATTTGATAATTTTCCCTTGAGTGTGTAGGAGTGGGTGAAATCACCGAGTTTTGAGGCATTTTGGATCAAAAAGACAGAGAATGAGGCGATACGGTGCCTTCAAATGGCGACGCGAAAAGGAGCAAAATCGAGCAAACCTGTACAAAGGAACAGTGAGAGGTGCGATATGTCACCTGTTCTAGGCGATATGTCGCCTGAGTTACCCGATTTTATTAGAAACACGTGTTTTGCCCTAGGCTGGTGCGCAGACTTTTATGGAAAGTTAGAATTGGCTTCCTTGGAGGCGTGATGGACGTGAAATAAAACGGGGGTGATTGAAAACTGAAAGGAGGGAGGAAGAAAAAGAAAGCAAAAATTACAAAGGAAGAAAAACAAAAATTGGAGAGGATTCCAGAGGGAAATTGGAGCGATTCTTCAAGAATTTCAAGCGTTCTTCATTCTCTTCTTATCTTTCTTCTTGTATTTTTCTAGGTTTTGAATATTATTTTGAGACTGTGAACCACATGATGTGTGGCTAATTTTCTTAATTGTTAGGGTTTAGATGAATCTCTATTTGTGATTATTGTTTCTACATTTTAATGTGCATTTAATTAAAGTTCTTCATTTCTTTTTGTGTTCTATTTTGAATTGTTGCTACCAAATTTATGATTTACATATTGTCATGCTTTGTGAGATTGTGAATTGGGTAAATTTAGATTGTGAGGATTAATACTCGAGAGGGGAACGTTCAAGCAATCAAGAAATGGGTAGAACAACTTAAGTTGGTGTGAGGTCGAGAGATAAACATTGCCTAGGTAGCAAAAATAATTTTAGGTTGTGAAATTGAGAAGTGGAATTCCATGAATTGTTTCTAGAGTGGAGCTTAATGAAGGTAGGGGTGAATAGTTGTATAGAGATATAGGTTTGATATCACCTACACATTCTTTATGTGGCACTCGAGCGAGGGTATAAGGATACACAACACTCTAGGTTCTTGAGAACGTTGAACTAGGTTAGGCACATTACTACGGAGAAACATAATCGCAATAAAGTGAAGTTGAAACCCTAACATTGCCATCATATTGATTTTCCATTTTAATCTCAGCGTGTGTTATTCATTACTGTTATCTTTCCTTTTAATTTAGTTTTCTTTTATTTTAGTTTTTCTTTGAGTTTATCACATTCAAATTTGATCGCTTAAATGAAATTAAGATATGATATTCGCAATAGTTAGTTTACATTCTTAACGTCAATCCTCGTGGGACGGTCTTCAGACCACTTTATTACTTATACGATTTGAGCACTTGTAAGCATAGTTAAATTTTTGCAACAAGAACCTGCGAAGAAATTGAAGCAAACAACATGCATTACCAAATTTAAAAAAAAAAAACAAAAACAAAAATCAACCGTGAACAATAAATTATGGTACATAGAGCAGCTAATGAAGAAATAATCGGACAAAAAAAGCAAGAAACAAAAATGTTGAAGCAATAAAAGAAGAAACCCAACAAAAATATTGAAGCAATAAAAGAAGAAGCCACCATGATAGGAGGTGAAGACCTTCGTTTCTGCGTCTGTGTTCGCCGGAAGAGAAAGAGAAAGAGAACAATCAACGAAGAAGAAAGAGAGAGGCTGAGGCAGTGAAGAAGACAGAAATGGCGAGGACTCGAGGGAGGAAAGGAAATGTGAGAGGCTGAGGCGCAGACAAAGAAAGAAGAAATGAATTAGGAAATTGATTCGGCCGGATCGGCTTTCCACTATATTCGGGTAGGATAGGTCGGCTCGGACGGTTTCGTCGGGTTCGGCTCATTTTTTACACCCCTAACTGGAGTTTCAGCCAAGCCACAAAGTTTTTTTCCCCTTAGACACGTCGAGAGGCTAAGAGCATTAAAGAAAAAAAAAACAGAGAGAAACAAGTTGAGGAATAAAAAAAAATCACTCTCTCTATTGCTTCCACCGAATACCCTCTTCCTCTCCCTCTCCCTCTGCATTTTTTTTTTTTCTCTTTTCCTTGATTCATCCTTCTTCTCCCACAAAGAGCTGCAGCATTTCATTGAAGTAAAGGATTGATTTGAGCTAGGGTTCAAAGTAAGAGTTTATTTGGGGAAAATCTTTGAATGACTGAGTGTTTGGTTAGGAGTAATTGACTGAATTATGTTTTGATTTTAGCTTGAGGAGAAGAAAGATTCAACTCAGCCCAGAATTGAAGAGGAATTAGATTTTAAAAGGAATTTGGTGAGTTAAGTTTATGCTCTGTTTTTAATTCTGAGCAGTTTTTAATTTTGGTTTGGATAATTAACTTAATATGTGAAATTGGTTCTGAGATTTTTATGGGAATTAGTAGACACCTTGAGCTTTCCAAATTGGTATAATTTAAAGTAATTGGAGTTATATTGAATTCTGGGTGATTTTTGGAAGTGGGTTTACTGTTTATAATATAAGAATTGGGTTAGCCGTGAAGATTTATAAAACGGGGTATTAAAATGAATTTCTTGGAAATTATCACTAGTTTTACCAGATAATAGACTTGAAAATGAAATCCGAGCCCAAGAATCACCAGAAAAGTATTTTTGATTAGTGAGTTACAACTTTTTAAAGTTAGGCTTGGTGGCTGGTTTTTCTGCAGAAAGACCGGCAAGATTTAATCTGGCATAACGTGTTTTTGAAGGCCTTAACGGGCCGGCTCTTTAAAAATGCCTAGATGTCTAGTTCGATTGCATTGACTTTAAAATTTTTGACGCCATATAGAATATTTTATGAATATTTTCATAACGGTTGCTCAAGTTGCGTTTTCTAGGAAATCTGAAGAACAAGAACCGAGATGTCCATTTCATGATTTATGGTTGCTGCACCTAAATCACTATTACTACCATTTATAATATGTTATTAGTGACCTGTGAGAGGTGGAATCACATCATTTGAAGTTTTGTAGCCCGAGTTGTGCGAATTAGAAGTTTCGTGTAGAAACTTCTCAAAAACTGTTAAACTCAGGAAAAACCATAATTTTGATTTCTTCAAACTATTTTCGAGACACTTAAATAGCTCAGATTTAGGCATATAATAACTTGTTGAAAATATCTATGTGTCTAGTTTCTTTTAGAGTTGATTTTAGAATTTTTAGAGACTTAGATAATAATTTATGTATATTCCTGTCAAGGTCAACGAATCTGTCAATTTACTGAACTTATGAAGAATATAGATTCGAGTTAGAAATTGATTTATGGCTAAACGATTTATGGTTTAGAACCTTGAGGTTATATTATCATTAAATATAAATCTCTTAATGAAATATGAGACATGTGTTAAAAGAGTGATTCTTAAATTGAATAAGTAAAGACAACAAATCATTATAACTAAGTTGTTGAGCTTCAAATAACGAAATCCAGTTTGTCTATTTTGGATAGTAGAGACAACACTTGTAAACCTTGTTTGGTAGAATTTCTATGGAATGTCTAGTATGTTATTATGTGATTTTTGTGGCATTGTCAATGTGTATGTTTTGTGAAAGCATGCTAGTGCAAGTGTATTGTACTCAGAGTGAAATAGTATGCACGATAGGCCGGTACTGCCAAGCCCTCAAAGGACTCATATAGTGATAGATGAGATTGTGATTGAGCCGTGCAAGTCTCTGGAGTCAGGTGGGTGATGACGGAGACTATATTGTAATATTGTGAATTTGTGAATTTGAATGCACTGGCCGCTCCCTCAAGTCAGGTGGGTGATAATGGGGAACCTAATATTGTGATTTGAGAAATTGACATGTGGCTAGATTGTGAAAAGGTTGGCGGCAGTTCCGGGAGGGCCCTAAGATACATAGTGCACGTGCATAGAGTGTGAGAATTGATTGGCATTGGTTATCTAGGATGTTGTGATGCATGCATACATTGAAATGGGATTATGTAATTGTAGCTCCACTTACTAAGACTGTAGCTCATTAAAGTTTACTCTGTGCTGTAGATAAAGGCAAGAACAAGGCAAAACAGTGAACATGAGAGTTGGCTTCGTTGACCGCTGTATATATGGTCGGACCAAAAAAACTGCGCACATACTATTTTGGAATTGTAAATACATATGTTTTGAGATTAAATTCTTAAACTTTAGATGACTGTATAATTATAAGCATGGCTAGAAACGTAATTATTACTTCACTCATTTCACATTAATCATGCATGCTACATTGTCGTTGCTGTTAGACATATACTTCACTGGATATACATTTTCTCTATTATATAATCACGGTATTTTACATTAATGCCCTTCCATCGCATAAAATAGAACCTCCTCACCTACAGGTATATCCAGCTATCCCTTCTATCACACAAAGCAAATTGTCACCTTCAACATAAACAGAACATTTGGTAGACTTCCCTTAATTAACATACCTTTTATAAGCTATAAACTTAGGCACCACTCCAGTCCAGAATCGGATTGGAGACTCGGCCTAAATGTATAATATAATATTATTTTTAATAATTATTATATTAAATAATAGGTAGAGTCGGAATGGAGTGACACCTATATTAGAATATTTTAATAGATACGAATGGTAATAAAAGGACGCCACCTGGTAATAATCTTAGGGATGTTTAAGGGCGCGTTTCAAGTATTCTGCATAGTTCAAACCATGATTTTTAATTTTGCAACAATGTTTTCTTTTAACAAAAAATTTAAATTTCAAATGTTAGAATCATGAACTATAATTTAAACGTATGAATCAAACAGACCCTAAGTTTTATTTTCTTGAGTGAATGACACATGAAGATGCTTGCAGGAAGGTGGCAGGTGAGAATGTTGTATTTTAATCAGTTGAGGGGTAGTATAACATTTGAGGTAGTAGCATGTACATTGTAACATTTCCTTTTAGACATGTAACTTCTATATAAAAGAAGTGGACAATTGAGGTGGTAGCATGTACATTGCTGTAATTGTGGTTGTTAATATACTTTAAATGTAATGTTGTTTGGTATTAGGGGACTGAATAATTATGATAATGTAGTTTTATAATGCATGGGATATAATTATCAGCTATATTGCGTAGTCGACTTGTTAAAAAATAAGTATTTAACCCTGTCACCTAAAAATAAGATGAAAATACAATAATAGATAAGATTGAATGTATTTGATTTAGTTAGTAAGAACACCACGAAAACTCGAAAAAATTAGAATGAGAGAAATTTGTAAGAAGAAATTCTTATTGATTAAAACATGAACAAACCCTTAAAAGGAAAAAGAAAACAACATGAAGGCTGCAATAATATGTTTTTTAACGATACCTTATATTTATTTCGATTCCTGTAAACTAGTACCCTTCTTGTTAACCAATAAAACATTAAAAAAAATCCACTTCTTTGACGCCATTGATCTAAAATCTGATGGTGGAATTTGATATGCCTGACAAGACAAATATTTTTGATACTGTCTCACCAGAGACTATTCCTAAATTTATAAGTATTATATATAATAGTTATTAAATTTACCGTAAATATTTTATATTGATGAATGTGATAGGTCGCACATGACCATACACTGAATCTTGGAGACTCCAGTGTCTTTGCCTAACAATAATAATAATAATAATAATACATAGGATTAATTACGAAAATTCTCCCCATCCATTAATTTTTTAACTAAAATTAATATTTAATTTGTTATTTTAAGGGTATTTTTGATAATTCTATGATGTATAATTTAATTTGAATTTAAATTAATTTAAAAATTCACAAAAATTTTTAATTCTACAAAAGAAAATATTCATAAAATTTTTAACTTACATTCAATCAATAATAGATGTATCATAGTTATATGTTTCAATTTAAATTAGTTTTAAATTCAAACTAAATTTTAAACCATAAAGTTATCAAAATATCGCAAAATAACAAATTAAATGTCAATTTCCGTTAAAAAACCTAATAGAGTAGGCTTTTTTGTTAACATTTTATTGTTCAGAGAAAACGGATATTACATTTCAAAAGTTAAAAGGCAAAGTGTTAAGAGGTGTAGTTAGAATTTTTATAATTAATCCTAATAAATAATAACGCAAAGCCTGCCATGTAATATGATGTGCAAGGCCTTTTAACTTAAGCTCCATTTTCCAAGCCTATGTTCGTCCTGTATATATATATATATTTTGTAATGACAATATTACAATATATATATGTTATTTATTCAAAACTGGACCAAAATGGGCCTTAGATTGGCTGGCCATTTTGGGTCTAGTGGGCCGATCTGAGACCAAGATATGCTGATGCAATCTAGCCCAGAAAGAAAGCATAACCTACTAGCCTACAGGCTCAATCTCGCTTGAATTGCATAAGCATAGTTTAGAGATGCAACTATGAGCATGAGCTCGTGGGCTGGCCCATCAAGACACGCCTAACCAATCAATATTCGTAAGTTTTATTGTGTTGGCACATCTTGACCCATAGGCCAGCCTAACATGGCCTGTGAAAAACCATGGACTAGCCCGTCTAAGACTCATATTGGCCTGTCCATATAGGTTCACAATGTGCGGGCCTGGCCCATTCGCCATGTCCATATGGCCTTGGAGAAAGGATCTGTGTAGTTATGCGTAGTTAGAAGGCTTAGCACATCATATTACATGACAAGTTTTGCTTCATTATTATTAATTTTATTGACAGGCAAGCTCTGCTTCTATTGAAAAGAATACTTGATATTGAGTCTTTATGCTTTAGTGTATGGTCATGTATGACATCACATCCATCAATATAAAAAATTTACTATATTATATATATATATATATAATATTTACTATATTATATTGTAAGAATTAGGCAAGAAAAATGTTTTTTATTCCTTCTGTCTTATTTCGGAGAAAACATACAGAGACTATATAGGCCGGAGAAGGCCTAATCTATTCCCTAAACAAAGGAACAAAATCTGTAAAATAAGGAAACAAATAAAGTCAAATATCATCCTAATATTCCTATCTCCTAATATCCGGTGTACAGCTAATCATATCCAGAATATACTTATTACAACCTCATTACAATCCCTAGTTTTCCGACACTCACCCTCAAGTTGGTGCATAGATATTGAACATGCCCAACTTGCTTACAAAGGAGTCAAAAATTTGTCTCTGTAGCCCTTTGGTGCAGATGTCTGTAATTTGTTGAGTGGTAGGTAAGAACGGCACACAGATGACTCCATCTTAACATTTCTCTTTATAAAGTGTCTGTCAATTTCTACATGCTTCATTCTATCATGTTGAACTGGGTGATTAGCACTGCTAATAGCCACCTTGTCATCACTGAATAGTTTTATGGGAAGTTCTACAGGTTTATGAAGTTCTTCCAGTACCCTTTTTAGCCAAAGTATCTCGCCAATCCCTTGAGCCATTACCCTGTATTTTGCTTCTGCACTACTCCTGGCTACTACACTGTTTTTTGCTTCTCCATGTTACCAAATTTCTCCATAGAAAGGTGCAATATCTAGAAGTGGATCTTCTATCAGTCACAAAACCTGCCCAGTCTGCATTAGTATAGACTTCAATTCTTCATTGATCACCTTTCTGGAAGAATAATCCTTTTCATGGAGTTTCTTTTAAATATCTCAAAATTCTGTAAATCACTTCCAAGTGTTCTTTACAAGGAGCATGCATAAACTGGCTCACCACGCTAACAGTAAAAGAGATGTCTGGTCGAGTGTGGGATAAATAGATTAGCTTTCCCACTAGGCGTTGATATGACCTGTATCAATAGGAACTCCTTCCTTAACTTCTCCAAGCTGTGAGTTAGGCTCCATAGGAGTATCAGAAGGTTTGCGTCCACTCATCCTAGTTTCTTCCAAGAGATAATGACTATGCATTTTTTAGATCTAGCAATTTCTATTCCAAGAAAGTATTTGAGAAAACTTAGATCTTTAGTCTCAAATTTAGCTGAGAGATTTCTCTTCAATTTATCCATTTCTTCAGTGTCATCACCAGTGAGAACGATATCATCCACATAAACAATCAAGACTGCAACTTTACCTTCTACAGAGATCTTCATGAACAGAGTATGGTCAGACTGCCCTTGTAAGAAACCTTGAGACTTTACAAATCTTGTAAATCTGTTGAACCATGCCGTTGGAGATTGTTTAAGTCCATATAAAGACATTTTTAACCTGCAAATCTTTTTTCCGAAGCTTTCATTGAATCCTGGGGGAGCCTCCATGTACACTTCTTCTTCTATATCTCCATTTAGAAAGGCATTCTTGACATCCAGCTGTTGTAGAGGCGAATCTAGATTAACTACAACAGAAAGCAACACTCTCACGGTATTTAAGTTAGCAACTGGTGAAACAGTTTCTGAATAATCAATGCCATAGGCTTGTGTAAACCCTTTGGCAACCAACCGAGCTTTGTATCTCTCTAGAGATCCATCAGAATTGTATTTCACAGTGAACACCCACTTACACTCAACTGGTGTTTTCCCTTTTAGAAGATCCACTTTCTCCCTCCATTTAGGAAAATCTCCCTCCATTCAGGAACTTCTAGAGCATCTTGTATATTCTTTGGAATAACAACACAAGACAGTTTTGAGGTAAATGCCCGGAATGGAGAAAGACTCTCATAGGATAAAAAGGTATATGATAAGTGCATGAAAATGCACTTAAGTTTATCATAATTGCTAAATAAATTAAGTTTTAATTAAATATTTTCGTGGAATTAATTTTTTTTGAAAGTATTTAATTTTAATTTAATTTATTTTGTAGAGAAATAAGACATTTGGGCCAAAACTAAAAAGAATAAAAAGAAGAAAAAGGCCCATTAAGAAGCCCATCAGAAGACATCACCAAGCCCGCTAGTCAGCCGAGCCGAGCCGAGCCCGAGCCACTCCTTTCTCCACGTCACATGTCAAAGTCTAGCGTGCCGCAGACTGTGGGACCCAGCTGTCCCCTTGCGCACGCGCGCTTGGCGCGCACAACCTTTCCCCCGGGCAAGTTCTTCTCACGCGCGCGTCAGGCGTTTTTCCATCCAATTTCCGCGTGGGTCCTGCGTGCAACTGAGCTCCTTCCACAGCTCGTCACGTGTCCGAAGCTATCGGCCATTTACTCCCCTCGGCCTCTCTTCACGCGACACGTGTCCCACCCATTTGGGATTCTTCAGCCAGCATTCCGTTTTGTTCTGTTGGGATAATTTCAGCATTCACTCTTAAAATAAAACCTTGTAAATCCAATTTAAGTGGATTAGGACGTTTTCTCTCTTTGTTTTTATTTCTCCTTTGCTGAATGTTTTTCTTATGCCCTAAAAGCTCTATAAATAGAGCCTTTGTTAAGTGTATTAGGTGGTTGATTTTTAATCTAAGTTTAGACACTTTTTTCTCTAATTGGTGAGGTTGGAGAGAAACCTAAGTGTGAAGTGATCTTGAGTGGATTTTATTTCTCCATTTGTTCTTCAAAGTTTATATATTTGAGTGATTAATTTTCTTATATCTTTTTCTAATTTCTCATATTGTTATATTTTATTGTCAACTTTTATATAAATCTAGTCAAGCTCTTTTCATGTAATTATTGCATGATACTGTATATTGGTAGGTATTATTTTATGAGTAGTCTTTTACTGCAATATTGCCAATGGTATATTATCGCTTTTAGATTTCTCATAAGATAATTTTTCCTAGTTCTAACCGTAAGGATTTTATTTACTCAAATACATTTTTATTCACAAATTCTTCAAATATTTATTTTCCGATTGATTGTTTGGGATGTGAAACTTTCAGTTGAGTAATCTCAAAAATCAAAATCCATTCGGGTGAACCAAGCATATAGGAGAATCTCGACGCCTTACCGGTTTTAATTACACAGGTTTTTCATATATTTTTCTTACGCTTAAACTTCTTAACAAAAATTTCATTCTCTTTTATTTTAATTTTATTGTTTATCTCCTAACGTTTTTTATTTGCTAATCGTTTCTTGTTTAATTTGTCACCTCCTCATAGGATCAACCGTCCTAATTGTGCTACAATTGACCGCTTATTTTTATACACGTTTAGGCATAATCAAATTTTGACGCCGCTGTCGGGAAGGTGAATCAATAAGATTGTCTAGTAAATAATTAGCTAAAAAAATAAGTACTTAGACTTTATTTATTTTAGCCAAAGAAGTAAGTACAACTTTTTATTAGCGTGTTTGCTTGTTTGTGTTTCTCGGTCAAGTTATTCGTTTTTCTTCTCTCGGTTGTTAGCTTAGTTTTTCTTCATTAATTTGTTAGGTTCTTTTTCGTCTTATTTTGTTTACGAAAAAAAAAAGTTTCTGTTAGTTTGACTTTTTATTTACTATTATTATTATTATTATTCATTTTTGTTACTCCAATTTTGTCCATTTGTTTAGCACGTTTAAAAAAAAAAAAAGAAAACTTTTGATAGCATCTTTGTTTTATTTGTTTAGTTGTGTCCGTAAGTCGAGCTTTGTCAAATACATTAGTGTCATTAATTTGTCTATTTTATTCGTTTTCTTTGAGTTTTGTCTCTTAGTTGTCAATTTCTTTAGTTAGTGTATATAATTAGTAGTTTATAATTCTATTGTTTTAATATTATTTTAGTACTCAGTTTAGCGTTTTTTTTTTTTGGTGTTTTTTTTTTAGTATTGCCGGCAATCGGTCTCTTTTTGTTAATCATTGTTTTCATTTTGTTTCTGTTAAGTTTTATTACTTTTATTTTGCTTTGTCTGATTAGTAGTTTTTGTACTTTGTCTGTTAACAGTATTTGATTAATTAGTTTCTTTAGTTTCTGTTTTTTTTTTTTTTTTTTTATTCACCTTCAAAAAAAAAGTTTGCCGTTTTTTTTTTTTTTTTTTTATTCACCTTCAAAAAAAAAGTTTGCCGTTATTTTTTTATTTTATTGATAGTGACTGTTTTCATTCTTATCATTGATTAGTGTTTGTTGTTTTATTTTTGCTTTTAATTTTCTGTTATAAGTAGTCTTAATTTTTAGGTTGTGACTTTTAGGTGATTAATTTAGACATTAAATTAGAACTCTTAATTTATCATAATTTGTGTAACCTTAGGTTTTAGAATAGTATTAACTTAGGGTACTAACACCTAACATTTAACATTCATAAGACACGTCATAAAATTTAATAATTTTCAAGCACTTTTGTAGAAACGTTGAAAAGTACAAACTAAGGGAGTTCTGTCTAGGAGGCTGGTTCCTGTTAGCGTTTTACGCTACCAGTCTTTCTTGAGAACGTTGCTCAGTCTAGGAGGTTGATTTTTAAGGAGGCTTCGCCCCACCAATCTTTCCTGGGAGCACTATTGGGGGTTGCGATTCACGGTTCTACATTATTGTTTTCTTTGTTTCAAAAAAAATCATAAGTAAAAAAATAAAAAATAAAAAAAATAAAAAAAGTAAAACGTTGTAGAGTGAATGAATCGTTATAGAAACGAATCAGAGAAATTCGCAAGAAGACCGAAAAACCCAAGTGAAGTTTCTTCCCACACGTCTAGTCTCCCTCGACCCCAGCCTCATTAGCAGTTGGAAATCCGTTCGCGATGGCTCAAAACGAGGAGGTCCAATTGAAGACGTTGAACGATTATCTTCACCCTACGCGTACGGCCACACCGTCATGCATAATGTTTCCTCGTAATATGCTGAATTTGGATTTCAAGCCGGGCATGATCCAACTCTTGCCGACCTTTCATGGGTTAGAGAGCGAGAATCCATACGTACATATTAGGGAGTTTGAAGAAGTGGTGGCCATTTTTCACAACCGATCCGTGCGATTAAGATTTTTCCCTTTCTCTTTCAAGGACAAGGCTAAAAGCTAGTTATATTCTCTGCGACCTAGGTCTATTGGAACTTGGGAAGAAATGACTACAGCGTTTTTCAACAAATATTTCCCTCACTATAAGACCAATGGTTTGAAGCGACAGATCTCGATCTTTACCTGGAAGGACAATGAAACTCTGTATCAAGTTTGGGAACGGTTCAAGGATCTGTTAAATCAGTGTCCTCACCATGGTTATGAGAGTTGGTGCCTCGTCAGTTATTTCTATGAAGGACTCACGATCCGAGAGCGCCAGTTTGTGGAGATGATGTGCAATGGTGAGTTTCTCTAAAAGGACCCGAATAGGCTTTTGAGTATCTTAACGAGTTAGCTGAAAAAGCCCACACATGGACTAGTCCAAGTGCTACTGACAACACCAATCGTTCCCGACCAGGTAGAGTCTATCAACTAAGGAAAGAGGACAATCTCAAAGCCCAAATTGAGTCTTTGACACGACAAATTGAGACCCTCAAAACCAAAGAAGGTAGAGGAATTCACATGGTTGCTAGGGCAGAGTTACAAGAGTCTTGCTTCGTTTGTGGAGGGGTGGAGCATCTAGCTAAGGATTGTCCTACTTACAATGAAATGAGAGGGGTTTACGAGGAGCAATGCAATGCCTTAGGATCATACAACAAACCTTTCTCTAACACATACAAATCCTGGATGGAGGAACCATCCAAACTTCAGTTGGAGAGATTCCAACCAAACGCAACCATCAGGAGGACAATGGAGAACTGAGCAACAGCCGCAACCACCAAAGGCGTATTCTGCACCTCAATACAATTCACAACAGCCAAGGAGTTCTCTTGAGAACACCTTGCAATCTTTCATGGAGGCGCAGAGTAAGATAAATCAGAAGTTTGAGTCACTATTCACGTAAATGATGGAAGAAAGTAAAGAGATGAAGAGTCAAATCATGAAGCTGACTAGAGCTTTGGCTATTCAAGAACGCAGCAAGTTCCATTCACAAGCTCAGTCAAACTCAAAGGGCCAACATATGGCGCAAACCTCTTGTCCTGATGATCAAAGTATAAAGGAGGTGAATGCCATCAGTACTCGTAGTGGTAAGATTATGGAAGGATCATTAACAAGTGTCACCACTTCAAGTAGTAAGGAAGTTGTCCCTAAAAAAGATGAGCCAATGAATGTTCCGGTAAAGGTGCCTTTTTTCCAAGCTCTGCGTCCAACTGGGAAAGTGCCGGAATACCAAAGTGAGATCCTAGAGCACTTGACTCAAGTGAAGATTAATCTTCCTTTGCTACATGTTATCAAGCAAGTGCCTGCTTATGCTAAGGTTATCAAGGATCTGTGCACTTTCAAAAGGAAGCACCATGTTAAGAAGACAACATTCTTGATAGAACAGGCAAGCGCGGTGATCGAGTAGAAAACACCGCCCAAGTATAAGGATCCCGGTTGTCCCATAATTTCCTGTCAGATTGGGACACATGAGTTCAACCAAGCTTTGCTTGATCTAGGAGCGAGTGTTAACCTCATGCCATATTCTGCCTACTCGCAACTTGGTCTTGGAGAAATTAAGCCCATATCTGTGGTTCTGCAGCTGGCTGATCGATCGATCAAGAAGCCTTGGGGGATAGTTGAGGATGTTTTGGTTCAAGTTGATAAGTTCTATTACCCCATTGACTTTCTAGTCTTGGATACTCAATCCGTGGTGAGTATAGAGTCCAAGATTCCCATTATCCTTGGAAGACCTTTTCTTGCCACAACAAATGCACTCATCAACTGTAGGAATGGTCTGATGAAGATATCCTTTGGGAACATGACTTTGGAGGTGAATTTTTTTCACATTGCAAAGCAACCATGTGATGATGACGAGTACCACCAAACATTTCTAATTAACACACTCATCTCGGAAGAGGTTTAGTTGTGTAGTAATTCTGATGATCTTGATGATTTCTTCCGCATTTCTGAATCTGAGAGTTCCGATCCTTGTGAGTTGGCCAACAATGTTGCCAATTTTTAAAGACTCACAAGGTAAAGGAACTAAGTTTTGGCAACCACGCTTTGAAGAGCTACCTCGAGAGAAAGAAAAGCCAAAACCATCCACCAAAGAGACCCCAACACTCAAGCTGGCTCAACTGCTCGAGGATCTGAAACATGTCTTCCTAGGAGCTGGTGATACCTTTCCTGTTATCATTTCATCTAAACTGGATGCATTCCAAGAGCAGCGGTTAGTTGACATGCTGCGTGAACACAAATCGGCATTAAGTTGGACGATTGCTGACATTAAGGGTATTAGCCCCTTAATTTGCTCCCATCACATTAACTTGGAAGACAAGGTTAATCCACGAAGGGATCCCCAAAGGGTCATTCCAACTCAGGTAGTTCGTAAGAAAAAAGTCGTGAAGAATGAAGTCTTGAAGCTTCTGGATGCAGGAATCATCTATCTGGTCGCCGATAGCAAGTGGGTCATTCCAACTCAGGTAGTTCCCAAGAAATCAGGGGTGGCAGTGGTGGAGAATGATAAAGGGACTATTGTTCCCACAAGGACTGTGATGGGTTGGCGATGTGCATTGACTATCAAAAATTGAATGCCGCCACCCGTAAGGATTGTTGGGAATGGTGTCCTAAAAGCATAAGATGTAATAGGATATTTATTATTTATTTAATAAAAGAGTTTATTCATCATTTTATGTGTATATATTTGTGAATATTTTATGTATATCAATAAAAATTCTATGATTATTTATGTCACCTTAAACATTGTATATAAGTGTTATATACGAGAGGATAATGTTTAAGGATAATAATCAAAAAGCAATGTTCATAATGAATTTAATTAAAGTTCAGAATCTTTAATTAAAACATTATTAATACATGTCATTCCCATTTAGAATGGAATGGTGTTATCCGCATTGTTAATATGGTGAGATATTGAATGAGTGTATTTCGTATAATGAGATTATGTGGAACAAGGACACAGACATCATATGAATTTCTAATATTTTCCGTTAAGTATAGAAATTCTAATTGAGTCTACCGATGGTCATATATAGAATGATCTTAATCCTGTGTTCTTAACAGACTCCTATTTATGGATTTGTGTCTTTTGATTTACTCGGTACAGATTCTGAGATTTTGAATCCTATTCCTTATATTTTGGAGACATGATGAAGTAGGTAGCCGAGAATATTATTACACTTGATGGAATCCATTCCTTCTTAAGAAATAAGTAGATAAATAATTCTCTTGAGGGTTGATTCGGTACTTGGACCAGTAGGAGCTCCGATTCATGAATGTGTTTTATGAAT